GTCAAAAGGTCAATCAAGTGCCTCACATGGATCAAGTGAGAATAGAAAACACAAATCCAAAAGGGCAACAAATGCAGGTTGTGTTTCCTACCAATTCATCTGTCGTTGACATGTTGTCAAAGTGGATCCTTGCAATGGTCTCCTCCTCGTTGTGTGGCCGGCCACCGTCTGTCTCCCTCCTATGTGCCCCTGTCAAAGATACAAACTGACACAAGATTAGAAGAGTTCAAAAAGAATTAAAAAACAAACATGATCAATATAAACGTGTCAAAAATATATCTTAGCAAAGGGAGACAAGCAAGCACAAGGACAAAGGGCAAACTGTTAGTAATGTTAAAATGGGATGAGGAGGGGATACCATACAGAAATTCATACTTAAGAAATACTACATCTCACCTCATGACTGGTTTTTTCCGACAAAAACCAAACCTTTTTTGTGCTGCCTGCTTTCCTAGCAAATCCATGGTCCTCCTACTTCCGAAGAGCTTTATTGCCGTACATCCTGTAAGGGAAAGGGTCAAGAGGTCACAATGGGACTCGGTCTACATCAAGGGAAAATAAGATTCAAAAAGATGAGCGTACAAAACAAATAGACAAAATCTTACCGCATTTTTCCAAAGTTGCCAATAATTAATGGGGTAAGATTCCTCTTCCCTGCTGGGTCCTCGCTAGGGAAAGTCCTCTTTATTCTAAGACAAAACATACAGAGGTCAGTGCACTGAGTCTCTTATTATTAATGGAGTCTCAACTAATTTTTTATTTGTCTAAACTATTTTTTATTCAAATATCATCTTTTCAAGGTTTGATTATTAATGACTCCTTCTTCAACTTACAAAAAAACTGTCCTGAAGCACAAAATTGAAATGATAAAATTTCACTTTTCAAATTTGAGCAGAATGTAGCTGAATTGGTAAACAAATTTTACTGAAATTTTTTAAAAATATTTTTAAAATTTTCTATCGTCTTACCTGCATTGTTGCAATGCCATACAACTTGCACAACTATATGCAAATGCAGATTATAAACACTTATCATTTCCTCAATGCAGGAATTTCATGATTACGTAGTGTGAATGCAGACTTCATGTATGTTGAATTATTATGTGTGTCAATGCAGGCATTGACGAACTCCAACGTCCGTCAATGCAGGCATTGGCTTACTATACAGTTAGTCAATGCAGGCATTAGCCGACTACTTAGTCAGTCAATGCCTGCATTGGTCAACTACACAGTCAGTCAATGCAGGCATTGGCTGACTACACAGTCTGTCAATGCAGGCATTGGTCAACATCACAGTCATCCAGTGCAGGCATTGGCCAACACCACAGTCAGTCAATGCAGGCATCGGCCAACACCACGGTCAGTCAATGCAGGCATTAGCCGACTACACTGTCAGTCAATGCAGGCATTGGCCGACACCACAGTCAGCCAATGCAGGCACTGGCCAACAGCATGGTCAGTCAATGCAGGCATTGGCTGACACTACAGTCAGCCAATGCAGGCATTGGTCGACTGCACAGTCAGTCAATGCAGGCATTGGCCAACACCACAATCAGTCAATGCATGCATCGGCCAATAGCACAGTCAGTCAATGCGGGCATTGGCCAACTCCATGGTCTTTCAGAGGAGGCATAAGTTGACCCCTCAGTCTCTCAATGTAGTACTTGGCTGACTTTTACAAGCTTTTTCATCAAATAAGGAATTGTGAGCGTTAACAATTTTTATGTCATGGATCAGTAGAATGTTGAACAATTTCAGATTCATTTGAAATTAATAAGTTAATAATATGCAGCCAAGTAATTTTCAATACATTAAAGAATAATGGACACAAAAAATATCTTGTGTGTGACACTTGAGTTTTTTTTAATTTACACTAGTTTGATATAAATTCATTTCATACATTAAAAGGATGCCAGCATGAAAATGATTCTAACTGCTAAATGTCTACAAAGTACTGTATGTGCTTAGTACCTGATAAAATTCACATCATTTCACTGCGGGGAACTTGGTGATATTTCAACATGAATGAAATATTTCCGAACAAACCGTACACAAATAATCAAAAGCAGAAATATCAATTGGTAGTAAAAATGGTCGAAATTTTCCTGCAATAATTATAAAGATTCGGGTCATATTAAAAGAGATTTTGCTCCTCTGTCATTTTCTTTTCTTTTGGTCTGTATTGTAAGTTAAAGCCTGTGTATACCTGGAAAAAAAATGCAGTGTTGGTAAAGTTATCAAGAAAATTTGATAATAATTACTTTTTAAGAAAAATTATTTACATTAACGATAATTTTTTCAAATATATTCTGACAACCATTTATTTTGACTACTGTAAACCAACTATTATTCGCGTCAACTTTTATTCGCGATTCGTCAGTTTGAAATCAATCGGCCACGATTGATTTTCGCGACTGAGGAAACATTCTCTTCAAAAACAAAGCAAAATAAATGATTCGCGGTGATTAATATTCGCGAGTTAAAGTAGGTCGCGAAACTCGCGAATATTTCTCGCAAGCAAATAAAAGTTGGTTTACAGTATGTTTAGGACTTGGAACAGTTGGATTAACAAGTTCTGAGTATAAATTATTGTTTAAACTATAGATATTATTGGAACAGGGGTGGCTTTTTTTTTCTAAGTTGGATTAATTATAATTAATATGTATTTTCAAACTTTCAAAATTAAGAAAGAATATTTATATCCAGGATGGTCAGAGGCAGATTATTTATTTTTCTCGCCAGTGGACATTATTAATTTTCATCATTTTTAAGGACAACTTATTTTTAAAATCTGCATGGACCCCCCCTCCCCCTTTTCCCCAAGTATTAATGAAATGGCCGATCCCTAATATTCAAACAAACAAACAAACAAAAAGTTAAAAAATCTACCAGTGTTTTCTTCTATGACTTTTCCACCAGATCACTGTCTTCTGTATTTCATTGGTTTCTGGGAGTTCATTATCATTTTATAGGTACCGCAGGTCGATTTCCAGTCTCTGTTACATTCATCATAAGGAAGAGATTACGCATCAATTTCACATTTACAGTGGCAAGCCTGGTCTCCTAAAAATAAAACAAAAATATTTATAGCCTTTTCAATTCAATCTTGGTGAAGGAAAAACCTTTTGAAGTCATATTGTATTTAGGATTTTTAATTTCACGGTGTTCAATCTTTTGAACGCCTCTGTATTAAAAGTGAAAGTAACATGCGTATAATTTTGAGATTGTTTATAAGTAAGTCAAAAACAATTTTATCTATTACTAGTTAATAAGAAGACGCAAGAAAAACTTATAGCCTTTTCAATTCAATCTTGGTGAAGGAAAAACCTTTTGAAATCACATTGTATTTAGGATTTTTTAATTTCACGGTGGTTCAATCTTTTGAACGCCTCTGTATTAAAAGTGAAAGTAACATGCGTATATTTTGAGATTGTTTATAAGTAAGTCAAAAACAATTTTATCTATTACTGGTTAATAAAAAGACGCAAGAAAAACTTACCCATGACGAATGCATACACTCAATCATTATAATCTGCTGATCGGAATAATGCTTGGCCTCGATGGATATACATGTACATGTACATACAGCCGTGGTAAGTAAATGCATATATTCTTTCACTAAGATACACATAAATAAAAGAAAATGAAATCCCGACCTTTCTTTCCTTGTATTTAAACGGTCTTCTACAACAACTAACGTTTCGCGGATTTTAGGCCTAGTTCCTGTTTGAACACGGTTGAATTCAATGTACGTGACGTCATAAAGGCACGTTGTGTTGCTCTCAACAGTTATTTGAAGATTGATCATTCACTCAAGTAACTAAGATGTGGGCGATTACAAAAATTTGGAATTATCATTATGCAGTGAAAAACAACACCCGGATGTGTTTTTTTTCTTGAAGCAAAGCTCTGTCCTCCATCTACACGTACGAAATCCAACCTAGTTCCAAGACTTCTTGATTGTAAGTAATACATGCATCTGAGTAAATGTGTATATAAATATACATATATATTTGTGTTTATTTGACAAATGCTTATTTCAAAATAACTACTGTATTTCCGAAGTAATTTCTTAAAGGTGTTAAAGGTTATTTTTAGGATTCGGGATTTTCAAATGTTTAGATGTATGGCTTCTGTCGAAAGTACATGTACGTAAATCGTACAATGTTCGTTTTCTTGTGCAGAAAAAAAAATGTTCGATTTCTTACGTAGAGGAAAGAATAGTTGTTTTCAATTTCTTACGTAAAAAAAAATATGGGAATAAATTAGGCTATGGCTTGTTTTAACTTTGAATTTAGTGTGTGATTTTTGAAATTTGCAATACTTTTTTTTTTCTTTTTTTTTTTTTTTTGGCCATTTTTGAACCACTCCATTGGCCATGTGATAGCAATAGATGACATAAACATACCTTGTGAGTGTATACAAAACTTGCATGTGTATTATTTTTCTAAATCTCCCTCATGCATAGCTCTGATCCTTCGACGTATTTGGCTCCAGTCTTTGGCACTTTTTTCAGCTCTTCCAATTCTTTTTATTTAAATTTTGGATTCCCAACCTTTCGGCTTGAGCATCACTGAAGAGACATAATTTGTCGAAATGCGCATCTGGTGCATCAATATTGGTACCGTATATGATTTACATACACAGATTCCATTTTTAAGAATTTAACCAACCAACCCCCCCCCCCCCCCTCTCTCATATAGGCTATCTAAATGAAAACAAACCTCATGCATATTCATTTTAACTGCAAACATGTATTTTTCCATGGGGTTATAATTCCGTGGAACCACAATTTCTACTCAATCCACGGGAAGAAAATTACGTGGATTTCTTAAATTACCACTATATACCTTAAATATACGAACTAACCTGAGGTGTCCCAGTTTCTTTGGACCTTATTATATTAATGATCAGAATAAACAAATTTTTTTTTAATTTTCCACAGCAATTATATTTGAAGATGGAAATGAAGAAAAGGTTTGCATCAAGGAACGACTTTGGGGCTAAAAGAACCTCTGTAAAAAGTTTTATGCAGCCAGAAGATTGTGTTGATGCTGTGAACGACTATTGGTTAGTGAATCTAAAATGCATGTAAATAGTTTTTGAAGGAAAAAAATGCATGCAATGGTAAACTTTGCAAATTCCATGTTTATTTTATCTAGGGATTCTTAAATACATGTCTATTTTTTTTTTCTTAGCAGATTTGAAAGTGGTGAGTGAACACACAGATGGAATCTACGGCTACACTACATTCTGTGATTTTTCTGGGAGATCTGAGCCTATTTGTCGGAATGGTGGCTAAGAACCATACCGTTAGGTTCTGTATTTTCAATATTCAATATTGTGACTTATGTAGTTGCTTGATTTCAATTCTATTTAAATTAGAAATATTTGATAGTTATTATTTATTACAAGATTTCCACTGTTATCATTGAGTCATGAGTATTTTGTGTAACGAACTCCGCATTTATTTTTCAGGTGAAGTACTGAGAACTGCACAGAAACATAAACATACAGTAAATAGAGAAGGAATCAGGAAGACAATGTTCTAGCAAAGCAATAAGATTGTCCAAAACTATTTTTTTTTAAAAATCTTACTTTAAAATTACATCGTTTCAATTCAGCTCAGATTTCTGCTTATTCTTTTTTAAATATAAAAATAAAAGTTAAAATTGTTGTTATATATGATCTTGCAAGTTGTCAATGTAAGTAAGCACAAGGGAAAAGAATCTTATAAGAACCTTCATCATTAAATGATTTCTGGATATCTGCATTAAAAACAAGGTCTGACAAGGACGATATATATTTTTGAAAGGAACAGATTACTTGGAAGAGTCGCCTGCATTGGACTTTGAGAGAGTCGTACAATGCCTGAATTGGCTCTTCTGAGAGTCGCCCAATGCCTGCATTGGATTTTGAGAGAGTCGTACAATGCCTGCACTGGCTCTTCTGAGAGTCGCCCAATGCCTGAATTGGACTTTGAGAAAGTCGTACAATGCCTGCATTGGCTCTTACGAGAGTCGCCCATTGCCTGCATTGGACCTTCAGAAGTCGTCTAATGCCTCCATTGGCTCTTATGAGAGAGTCTCTCAAAGCCTGCATTGGACCTTGAGAGACTCTTCTAATGCCTGCATTGGACCTTGAGAGACTCTTCCAATGCCTGCATTGAACCTTGAGAAGTCACCTAATGCCCGCATTGGCTCTTGTGAAAGAGTCGCCCAATGCCTGCATTGAATCTTGAGAGAGTCTCTCAATGCCTGCATTGCCTTTAATGAGAGTCGCCCAATGCCTGCATTGGATTTTGAGATAGTCGTATAATGCCCGCATTGATAGACCCTTTAGAGAGTCAGGCAATACCTGCATTGCCTATTGAGTGAAAAGAGAGTCTTAATGCCTGCATTGGCCCTTTAGATATTCGTGCAATGCCTGCATTGGCCAACGATGAACAAATTCCCTTGACAGATTGTCATGAAATTCTTGCATTGGCTTTACTATAAAAAGATTTTAATTTTTTTTTTTTTTTAGACATTGGTGATTCTTAGCGGGAATTTACAAATAATATTTCATTTTCGTAATAATCGTCACTGCATTACAAGTTTATTTATTTTCCAAGTGTTCAAATAGATTTAGTCTATTACATTTAGAACAATTTCAATTGCATATGTGATTAAGATAAAATTCAAATCAGAATGAGAGGAAAATTGCAAAAAATTAAATGAACCACATAGTCAATATTTCCGCAAAGACTTTTATCACATGGATTTGGAAATGGCCAATTTAAACCATAAAATGTATTTCGGGATACTTTTGTAATCAATCAACACTTTCTTCATAAATTCGTTTAATTACATTCACTCTCTTAATAGAAGCCAAGATTTCTTTCCACATTACCTAAAACATTGATCTTAAATTAAAAAAAATAATTAAGACAAATAAAATAAAGTTGAGACACCATTTATTATAATAGTGAACTAGAAATTGATACAAACAAGAAGTAAACACTGGATGGTCTTACCCTTTGTTGATGGCTTTTCCGCATTTTCCCCCTCCCCCTTCCCCAAAATTACTCTTTTTTCTGCAAAAGAAATGTCCAAAATACATGTCAAAACATCAATTAAGTGCCTCACTTGGATCAAGTGAGAATAGAAAAAAAACCCACAAATCCCAAAGTGCAACAGATGCAGGTTGTGTTTCCTACCAATTCATCTGTCGTTGACATGTTGTCATAGTGGATCCTTGCAATGCTCTCCTCCTCGTTGTGTGACCGGCCACCGTCTGTCTCCCTCCTATGTGCCCCTGTCAAAGATACAAACTGACACAAGATTAGAAGAGTTCAAAAAGAATTGAAAAACACCATCAATATAAACGTGTCAAAAATACATCTTAGCAAAGGGAGACAAGCAAGAACAAGAACAAAGTGCAAACAGTTAGTAATGTTAGAATGGGATCAGGAGGGGATAACATACACAAATACATGCTAAGGGAATAAGATATCTCACCTCATGACTGGTTTTTACGACAAAAACCAAACCTTTTCTTTGCTCCCTGCTTGCTTAGCCAATCCACGGTGCTGCTGCTTCCGATAGGCTTTACTGCTGTACATCCTGTCAGCGAAAGGGTCAAGAGGTCACAATGGGACTCGGTCTACATCAAGTGAAAAGAAGATTCCAAAAGCAAAGCGTGCAAAACCCAAAATAAGACCAAATCTTACCGCATTTTTCCAAAGTTGCCAATAATTAATGGGGTAAGATTCCTCTTCCCTGCTGGGCCCTCGCTAGGGAAAGTCCTCTTTATTCTAAAGACAAAACAGAAAGAGGTCAGTGCACTGAGTCTCTTATTATTATAATAGTGAACTAGAAATTGATACAAACAAGAAGTAAACACTGGATGGTCTTACCCTTTGTTGATGGCTTTTCCGCATTTTCCCCCTCCCCCTTCCCCAAAATTACTCTTTTTTCTGCAAAAGAAATGTCCAAAATACATGTCAAAACATCAATTAAGTGCCTCACTTGGATCAAGTGAGAATAGAAAAAAAAACCAACAAATCCCAAAGTGCAACAGATGCAGGTTGTGTTTCCTACCAATTCATCTGTCGTTGACATGTTGTCATAGTGGATCCTTGCAATGCTCTCCTCCTCGTTGTGTGACCGGCCACCGTCTGTCTCCCTCCTATGTGCCCCTGTCAAAGATACAAACTGACACAAGATTAGAAGAGTTCAAAAAGAATTGAAAAACACCATCAATATAAACGTGTCAAAAATACATCTTAGCAAAGGGAGACAAGCAAGAACAAGAACAAAGTGCAAACAGTTAGTAATGTTAGAATGGGATCAGGAGGGGATAACATACACAAATACATGCTAAGGGAATAAGATATCTCACCTCATGACTGGTTTTTACGACAAAAACCAAACCTTTTCTTTGCTCCCTGCTTGCTTAGCCAATCCACGGTGCTGCTGCTTCCGATAGGCTTTACTGCTGTACATCCTGTCAGCGAAAGGGTCAAGAGGTCACAATGGGACTCGGTCTACATCAAGTGAAAAGAAGATTCCAAAAGCAAAGCGTGCAAAACCCAAAATAAGACCAAATCTTACCGCATTTTTCCAAAGTTGCCAATAATTAATGGGGTAAGATTCCTCTTCCCTGCTGGGCCCTCGCTAGGGAAAGTCCTCTTTATTCTAAGACAAAACAGAAAGAGGTCAGTGCACTGAGTCTCTTATTATTATAATAGTGAACTAGAAATTGATACAAACAAGAAGTAAACACTGGATGGTCTTACCCTTTGTTGATGGCTTTTCCGCATTTTCCCCCTCCCCCTTCCCCAAAATTACTCTTTTTTCTGCAAAAGAAATGTCCAAAATACATGTCAAAAGATCAATTAAGTGCCTCACTTGGATCAAGTGAGAATAGAAAAAAAAAAAACAAACACAAATCCCAAAGTGCAACAGATGCAGGTTGTGTTTCCTACCAATTCATCTGTCGTTGACATGTTGTCATAGTGGATCCTTGCAATGCTCTCCTCCTCGTTGTGTGACCGGCCACCGTCTGTCTCCCTCCTATGTGCCCCTGTCAAAGATACAAACTGACACAAGATTAGAAGAGTTCAAAAAGAATTGAAAAACACCATCAATATAAACGTGTCAAAAATACATCTTAGCAAAGGGAGACAAGCAAGAACAAGAACAAAGTGCAAACAGTTAGTAATGTTAGAATGGGATCAGGAGGGGATAACATACACAAATACATGCTAAGGGAATAAGATATCTCACCTCATGACTGGTTTTTACGACAAAAACCAAACCTTTTCTTTGCTCCCTGCTTGCTTAGCCAATCCACGGTGCTGCTGCTTCCGATAGGCTTTACTGCTGTACATCCTGTCAGCGAAAGGGTCAAGAGGTCACAATGGGACTCGGTCTACATCAAGTGAAAAGAAGATTCCAAAAGCAAAGCGTGCAAAACCCAAAATAAGACCAAATCTTACCGCATTTTTCCAAAGTTGCCAATAATTAATGGGGTAAGATTCCTCTTCCCTGCTGGGCCCTCGCTAGGGAAAGTCCTCTTTATTCTAAGACAAAACAGAAAGAGGTCAGTGCACTGAGTCTCTTATTATTATAATAGTGAACTAGAAATTGATACAAACAAGAAGTAAACACTGGATGGTCTTACCCTTTGTTGATGGCTTTTCCGCATTTTCCCCCTCCCCCTTCCCCAAAATTACTCTTTTTTCTGCAAAAGAAATGTCCAAAATACATGTCAAAACATCAATTAAGTGCCTCACTTGGATCAAGTGAGAATAGAAAAAAAAAAAACAAACACAAATCCCAAAGTGCAACAGATGCAGGTTGTGTTTCCTACCAATTCATCTGTCGTTGACATGTTGTCATAGTGGATCCTTGCAATGCTCTCCTCCTCGTTGTGTGACCGGCCACCGTCTGTCTCCCTCCTATGTGCCCCTGTCAAAGATACAAACTGACACAAGATTAGAAGAGTTCAAAAAGAATTGAAAAACACCATCAATATAAACGTGTCAAAAATACATCTTAGCAAAGGGAGACAAGCAAGAACAAGAACAAAGTGCAAACAGTTAGTAATGTTAGAATGGGATCAGGAGGGGATAACATACACAAATACATGCTAAGGGAATAAGATATCTCACCTCATGACTGGTTTTTACGACAAAAACCAAACCTTTTCTTTGCTCCCTGCTTGCTTAGCCAATCCACGGTGCTGCTGCTTCCGATAGGCTTTACTGCTGTACATCCTGTCAGCGAAAGGGTCAAGAGGTCACAATGGGACTCGGTCTACATCAAGTGAAAAGAAGATTCCAAAAGCAAAGCGTGCAAAACCCAAAATAAGACCAAATCTTACCGCATTTTTCCAAAGTTGCCAATAATTAATGGGGTAAGATTCCTCTTCCCTGCTGGGCCCTCGCTAGGGAAAGTCCTCTTTATTCTAAGACAAAACAGAAAGAGGTCAGTGCACTGAGTCTCTTATTATTATAATAGTGAACTAGAAATTGATACAAACAAGAAGTAAAC